GTGTTTATCTGTGTTGAAAGAATACAGATGATGATCACATTCTCCTAATTAGAGGTCATTCTGAGAAACTGGATGATTTGTACTTAATAGATGCTGAGGGACAAATAAGCCCAGACAAGCACCACACTTTCCTTGCATTTGTCACCCTCTTCTTGCTTTTTGCTCATTGTATTGATAAAGAGCACCAGTGAAGCATTAAAGCATGTTAATATTTTTTTTTTGCTAAACCAGAAATGTTTAAATGATTTACATTTTAGCTTGTTTATATGCAAGGAGGTTGGGCTGCATTGCAAAGGCTTAATTAACACTTTGGAATCCATGGAGGAATGCTGAATGATGCAGAGTTGTAACTTCAGGCTATGAGCCTTCACCCTGATGCTAAGAAAGATATCACTGGCAGCACAATACAGCCACAGGGAGAATGGCTGTAGGGTCAGTCTTTTGTAGCCCAGCAATTTGTGGTGGCCAGCGGCCAGTAATTGAAGTTACAAAGGAAGAGTGTTGCAGCACAGGTATGAACTCATGAGGAATTTCAAGCCTTCTGTTAGTAATTCTTTGGGCTTAATCACATGTAATGTGATTTCATGTAACAACATGCTACATTTTGAAAAAATTGGGTTTCTTTTCTAATTCCTTAGAAACAGAGAAAGCTTGCACAGTTTGTAGGTTGGGATAGGTGAGAAATAGGCTGCATTCACATTTCAAATCAAATGTAACCAATTTGCACTTCTCCAAACATACAGTAATGGCAGACTACTGTTTCAATTCATACATTTTTGAAATTTGCAGTGCAACCTGAGACTTGTGAAGCATATAAAAAAGGAATGCACTTGTAAAATAGTGGAAACAAATGTATTTGAAAAACTTGCCTTGAAAAAAATAATTGTTTGAGAAAGTGCACGGAAAAGTTTTCACATTCTGAAAAATGCATATTTTTCAACCCCACTCCCAGCTGGATGTGGTCAAACAGGAGATGGCAAGAATAAACATTGACATCCTGGGCATCAGTGAACTAAAATGGACAGGAATGGTCGAATTCAATTCAGACAATTATCATATCTACTATTGTGGCCAAGAAGCCCATACAGTAGAAGGAATGGAGTAGCCCTCATAGTAAACAAAAGAGTGGGAAAAGCTGTAATGGGATTTAATCTCAAAAAATGATACAATGATTTCAATACGAATCCAAGGCAAACCTTTCAATATCATAATAATCCAAGTTTATGCACCAACCAACATCGCTGAGGAGACTGAAACTGGACAATTTTATGAAGACATACAACACCTTCTAGAACTGACACCAAAGAAAGACAGTCTTCTCATTCTAGGGGATTGGAATGTTAAAATAGGGAGTCAAGAGATAAAAGGAACAACAGATAAGTTTGGTCCTGGAGTTCAAAACAAAGCAGGGCAAAGGCTAACAGAGTTTTGTCAAGAGAACAAGTTGGTCATCACATACACTCTTTTCCAATGACACAAGAGGCGACTCTACACATGGAAATAACCAGATGGGCAAAACTGAAATCAGATTGATTATATTCTCTGTAGCAAAAGATGGAGAAGCTCTATACAGTCAGCAAAAACAAGACCTGGAGCTGATTGTGGCTCTGATCATCAGCTTCCTATAGCAAAATTCAAACTAAAACTGAAGAGAGTATGAAAAACCACTGGGATAGTCAAGTATAAACCAAATCCCTTATGAATACACAGTGGAAATGAAGAACAGATTTAAGGAACTAGATTTGGTGGACAGAGTACTTGAAGAACTTTGGATAGAGGCTCGTGATATTGTACAGATCTTTCCCAAGCTCTGTAGAGGAACACAGCCAATGGTATGACTGTTCATGCTTTCCTGCTGTTCTCTCCTAGCACAAAGGGGTTGACCATCTGGCTGTAGTACAGAAATTAGAACGTTACTGACATAACATGGCTTGTACACAACTGTTACTTCCATTTTCAGCCTTCTAGCAAAGATATAAACGAAAATTGGTTTGCCGTCTTCCAAAGAAGAGTTGTTGCAAAATTATATGTTAATTAATTTAATTGCATGCAAACAGATCGCCGAATGTTGCTTAGTATTAATGTTGAATGATCCTAAAACTAGAAAAACAAACAAACTGTTGTATTCACTTGGTGGAAGAGCTGGTACATGAACCGGGATGGATGGACTCTGCTGATGAGAAGTGCTTATATTTAATGTTCAGTTCTATTACACAAGCCAGTGATATGAAGATGTTTTATGGTGTATTGCCTAGATCTGATTGGAAATTAAAATTTCAGTGGTGTTTGCTTTAAAATGTCCATGAATGATCATGAATGGCTTTTAGAAGGATCTACCATTTGCTTGTCCTTTTGGCAATACTTAAACATTGGGGAATGCAAACATTGAAGCTCAAAGCCTATTCTTTAGTACTAAATTGTGAAAATATGTATTTTTGTGACTTTATAGCATTTCTTCTGAAGTGCATCCCCTTCTCCACATAAATAATATCCTTGACAAATCCACATCCGGTCACTAAGCTTCTTGGGTGACAGTAGGTTAGTAATGATTTCTAACCCTAGCTTACTTCACTGTAGCTTTTTATGACAATGAAATGGGAAAACTGTGTGTGCAGCAAGAGTACATAAGTAACAAATAGAAGGAAAAATACGGCATTGATCCCAAGGGTAATCTGTTTGTTCCAGTCTTCACTGCTAGTACAGATTTGTCCCTACTTCTTTAACTGATGATTACTCCTGAAAAAGTACTTCCTATTTCATCTTCTTTGCTTTTCCTATAATTTACTGGCCTGATTTCTGTTCATGTAGCTCCTTGCATGTAATGCTGATGACACTTTCAGCCATGGACTTTACTCTTTAATTAAATGCTTCCTGTTATACCCCATTCAGGTTTCAAGGCTTCCTAGCATTCCCTTTTTGATCCAGGGAAACCTTTTTGAGACTCAGGATGATATGTATGTGGGACCCTTTAATGTTTGAACAGTGCTGCCACTGGTCCTTTGTACTATTTCATGTACTGTACTACAAATTCCATAATTTCCCATTCTGGGAGTTTTCCTGACAAGATACATTATGGATAGCTTCTAGGAGCCACTACCCTGTTTCCCGAAAAATAAGACCTAACCTGAAAATAAGCCCTAGTATGATTTTTCAAGATGCTTGTAATATAACCCCTACCCCCAAAATAAGCCCCAGTTAAGTGAAACCCCGCCCTCCACCATTGTGCAACATTGTGCTGCAACCAAAAGATGACATGACTGTAAAATAAAACATCCCCTGAAAATGAGCCATAATGTGTTTTTGGAGAAAAAATTAATATAAGACCCTGTCTTATTTTCAGAAAAACACAGTAAATGTGGCTCCTGGAAGAAAAGCTTAAACATGAAAGCTTTGAGGCTTACCTAGGTCTAGCTGTGCCTAGCTTCCTGTTCAGAAAGAAAGGTCTCAGGTAGTGTGGAGCTAAGCCTAGCTAAGCCCCAAAACCTTCCAATTTAGCCTTTTCTCACAGAGTAGCCACATCTAGATATCCTTAAGGTGCCTGCTGATCAGGTAGAGCTTCTAGAATGGATAATTATGGGATTTATAGTCCAAGAAATGAAAAAAAAATCCCATCCCTAGCTGACAGTAGCATCGGCCTTACATGTGTGGAGCTGTACAAATAGAATTCTGGTCTTTGGTTAATCTGTTGCTTTACTTGTGCGGTGGTTTTATTATTTTACTGTTAATTTTGGTGGCCATCTTAAGATACACACAAATTGCATGATGTAAAGCAAACAAAGTAACAATTTGATAAAGCAGCTTGAAGAAGTTCTCATTAGCAAATTTGTTCAAGAGTGCAATTCTGTTAATACACATGGTAGGTAATTATGTAAAAAAAAGTGAAACCAACTTTACCATGTCCTTTTAACTGTAATTATTAAATAGGTGAATTATCAGTTTCTTTCTTCTGTGCTACTTTGTTGATTTATAACCATATAGACCAAATACTTGAATCCATCTGCCTTCTTGACTGGAAAGAATTGTGTTTTATCCAGTAAAATGAGTTCAGATGTATTGTTGTGCTCTTTTAAAAAATATCTGAAAACACAAGTGTTTCTGCTGTGAGATGTTGTGTGACAAATGAACAGATTCATAGTTTCAATTTGTGGGCTGCATAGTACACTGTATTGCAAAATAAATATTGATATTTTCAAAAATGAGTTCCAATGTGTAAAGTTGGCCTTCTCATTCATAGTTTCAATTTGTGGGCTGCATAGTACACTGTATTGCAAAATAAATATTGATATTTTCAAAAATGAGTTCCAACGTGTAAAGTTTGCCTTCTCAATATCTATCTGGTTTTGGTAAACTTCATGGTGGAGGTGTTTTTCTGCCTCATTTCTCAATGAACTCCTTATTCCAGGGCTGGATAAAGTGTGGCCTTCTAGATATTCTTGGATTGCGACTTCTTTGTATCGACTGTTCTGCCTTCATCTGGGTGGGGGTTGGAGTCCAGCAATATCTGGAGGGCCATATGTACCTCATCTGTGCTTTATGTGCCAGAGGTATCCACATACATGTGCAGTGAGCTGTCTTGAATAAGATTTCCATTTTGACACACACAGACTTGCACTGTCAAAGAATGCACCATGCTGGGCTAATTCAATCGTCATTCTCACGTCTAATTTTAAGGAACAGAGAACTGCAGCATCACCTTGACTCATGACTTGCAATGGACTTCATCAGCTGGATAATGCACACTTTCCAAAGACAGTACATTGGACTTTCAGCCCCCCCTCCCCCGGCTAATTTTGGGAGAGGAAACTTTGCACATTGGAACTCAGTATTAATGATAGAAGAAAGACCATCCTCATTTATGAACTACCATTTATAACCTTATAGACCAAATACTTGAATCCACCTGCCTTCTTGACTAGGAAGAATTGTGTTTTATCCAGTAAACAATCTTTTAAAACATTTTTTTAAAAAACAATCTTTTCTGTTGTCTTTTCTCCTTATAGGAAAGATCAGCACTTGCTGTCACCTGTGAACTGCTGGTATCTCGTCCTGACCCAGACACGGAGAGAAAGTAGAGATCATGCTACCCTGAATGACATCTTCATGAACAATGTCATTGTCAGGCTTTCCCAGATCAGTGAAGATGTTATCCGGCTATTTAAAAAGGTAAGCAAATGCCCAGGTGTCACTTAATGACATCTCTTTTAGTAAGTTGCAGTGTAATCAGAGCCCATTGTCACCCTTGTATGTGGAATACTTAGGGAAAAGGCAGCTCTTGGAAAAATTACTTCTTTCACTATAGATCCCAGAATCCCCCTGTTGGAAAAACGTTTCAAGCTTGAAAAAATGCTTTTGCATTACAAAACCCACAATCCTCCAGCTTGGTTGTTCAGAGAATTGTGCTGCAGTTTCCCTCCCCTCCGCAAGCCCTGGAAAGAAAGAAAACCTTTTATAAAAGTTACTCTGCCATTTGGTCCAACAGCTTGCACACATTCCACATAGTCTTCCTCCATTACTTGACCAGTACCTATGTCAGAGTCATTCTTTCCCTGCCTTTGTATGGTTGGAATCTTATGCTGGAATCTTTTCAGGGATCACTGAATGATGAACGATAGAGTGAAAGCTAATTGACAGGGTGCAAATTGTGTGAACAGGTGTATTCATTCATTCATTCATTCATTCATTCATTTTATACCCCACCCCTCTAGACCAAAGTCTACGCTGGGTGTCTAACAATAATTCATGAAACTAAAAACAATATAATAAAATAAAATGTAAAATATGTGACACTCAAGAGGATTCTGGTCTTAAGAATTAAGTCTTAGCTGGTGCTAATGGACATGTTCTCCTGCACAAAAGGCCTTCTTTCCCTTGCTACTCTCTTAATGTTTTTCTCTCTGTTCCTGTACCACTGGTATGGAAACACCAACACTTGTGTCACCACTACTTGATGTCCCTTGTCTTCTTGAATACTTCCTTCCTCCCATGTAAGAACTTGGCTTATAGCCCTCCTGATCAGGATTATGAGACTCCCATCAAACACATTCTTTCCAAACTTTATAAGGTGCAATCCATAACTTGCCAAGAGTTTTTAATGGGAATACAGACCATGATGGATAGAGCTGAATCTTTCTTCATGTTACCATTTTCAATGCCAATGGTTCACTTCCAGAATTGTTTCCTCTTGGTTCTGAGTCACCACCTTCCATAGAAGAGAATGATTCCTGTGCTTGCCAATACAGGTAGTTCTACTTGTGCACTTCACATTGTACCCCCTGCTGTTGCTGTTCCAGAAGACTTCATTCTCCTTTATCCAGATATGTGCCATATTATGTGTGGATAGGAAGGCCATAAGCTTTACTTTTATCTTTGTCTTCCAGCTGTACACCCAGTTTGTACTTGTTGCAGTTATAGCTTCCTAAATCTTAAGGCAGTAAACCAAACATGGGGCAGATGACACAAATCATTGCAGAAATCCTCTCACCATCCATCACTCTTTCTCTTGTGGTGACACGAAACTCCTGGCTTTCCTATCAAACTCTCCTGGAAATGCTTATGCAAAACACCCTTTTCACTCTTTCTGTTTGCTCACTCCTAGTTACAAAGAGCTGGAGCTTTCACCTTTTTCACTTTATAATCATTACTCTGGCCTTACTTGAGAGTAGACCTAAGTTGGGTTTAAAATTTCAGAACAGAGATGGCATGCAGGCTATCTTTGAACTAGGACCGTATTGGCTGCCCTTGCACTATCAAAATATGTGCGCTAAAGGTGGCAAAATGAACTCACAACATTTGTGAGACTGTTACTGCCTCTTTTGTGTGTGTGTGTGTGTGTGTGTGTCTGTCTGTGTCTGTGTATGTACTGTATATGGTTATGTGTGAGAGAGAGCAAGAGCAAGGGGGAGCAAGTGGAGTATCCCTTTGTTCAAAAATTTTAAAAAGATATAATGATATTCCTTTCCTTATAACTTATCCATCCCAATTTTGATTGCAAAGTACTTCCTGTGGTTATATGGGCTAAACCCAGTGCTAGTCTTACTTAGAATATTGAGATCTGTGAGTATTGTTGTGGTTAGATAAATATGCTAGGTGGAATGGTGTTAAATATAGCCTGTTGTGAGTATTGTTTAGCATTTTACATTAGATCATTCTAATCTTTCTTTCATTGTTTATAGAGCCAATATAGTTTTGTTTCAATACATCTTTTTCATCCCTTTTCTTATTGCATGTGTTGGAATACTTTATTGTAAATCTGAATTGCTGCTCTTTCTTTTGCCATCTAAATATAGGCATAACCCTTGAATTGCAACTGCTCCCTTGTGATAGGTCAGCTTCAGGCTAACCCAGTGTCATAGTTTTAAATTTGACTTTCTATAAAAAGTGACATGTTTCATAGCAAGTTTTATAAAATCTGGCTTAGTTTTAACAACTTCAGTGGCCTTTTTTTAAGTTAGTGACATTTTAGCAGATCCTCTGCAGCCATGACTAGTGGCATGATGATTACATTATCCCCTCTATAGTCTGTCTGGCATATTCATAGTTGATTTGATCCTTATATGAGCAGAGGTAAGATCAGTCTTGACTCCACCTACAGCTTGCTGTACACAGCATCTGCTTTTAATCCGAGCGAAGCTGTGTTGCTGAATTCTGATTCTGATATTCACAGTACTTCCCTTAAGGCTGAAGTCTTGATGTGTCATAACTAATGAATGGCTAAATCCAGGAATGAAGGTGTTATAGTTTGCCATTGTTGTGTGTGGATACATGTGTTTTATATGTCACAAGCTAACATTTCTAGGTTTTAACCCCTTGTTTAGTATTTCTAACCTTGTCTGTTCTGTATCTGTTTGTTAAGTTTAGGGTAGTACGTAAAAGGAGCAAGGGTCATGTGACAACTTGGTAAGGTGAGACAGGCTAACAACGGAATCCTTTCCAGCCTTTGACAAAGAGAGAGTATTCATTATTGCCTAGTGATCAATGTGCAGTCTAGACAAATACCATCTATGACAAAGTACTCTTACAATTTATAAGACTAGCACTGTCTGCAAGTTTCTGTGTCCTGGAGGTGACTAGTTCTCTTGTGTTTTCCAAGAAATTGTCCTTGTATTTTTACCATGTGGGTATATTTGAATGGATTACTTCATTCTTTACTAATAAAGAAAAGGTGCCCACTGCTTTGGTGGTTATATGAGCTGATGTGATTCATCTTAAGAAACAAAACAAAATAGAAAGGTAAGATAGACATGTGAATATTGAGATAGCAGGTCGCCCAGCTTTTCTGCCTTTGAAAATGCTTGTATGAATGAGAAATTGTCTATGTTCCTTCAGCCAGGGCAAGGTTGTTTGAGTACTGTGGGCATTCTGCTGCTTTTTGTTCTATGAAGATGTGTTCAAACCCATTTTGAATAGCAATGTGCACTGCTTGGTACTAAAGGGTTAAGAACATCCCTAATTGTTCCGCAGCTGCTGAAGATTGCTTTGATGTAAATTGGAGCAACATTTTGTTTCAAATATGTCAGTTTTAATTTTCCCCTTTCAGCCATTATTAATAGGTTTTGACATATCATGGGGACATACATACAAGAATGATAATGTGTCACATTTTTTTTTCTGTTGCAAATGGGTATTTTCACTGTGCAGACATAAACAATTGTCATAAACAGGGGGGATATTTACATACATACGTAATTGATTCACATTTGATTGTGAATTGCCTTTGGCAATCTGTTGGTAGTGTTTGTATCTGGAATTCGCGCACGGAGGGAGGGCTATATTTCCTTCAGCTTTAGATGCCTTAAGATCAGTCATCACCTTTGTTTATGATATTGTTCTACCTGAGATGCTTAGCAGGATTATTATAAAATGTGGACTATTTACTAGGTAAACATAATGATTACTAAATGTAACATTTGAAGGTTCTTTCATGTTTTGACTTCCATGCATCATGCTACAAAACTGACAACAAAAATGTTACTGTTCAGATATCTTTAATGCCCCTTTCTTTGTCACATTTCAAGTATGATTTAATATGGAATGGCCTGTCCTTTGTCACAGGTTTGCTGTCCCATCTCCACCTTAATGCATCATGTAGTTTTATGAATGGTCTTTCACAAAATGATATGAATCCATGTGCCCATAACCCATAACCAAACTCAAGAAGTAAAAAAGTTCTGTGTAGGGATTTCTTCCTTGGTTTCAAGTAAGGGTTTCATCATCATTTCCTGCAATGCTCAAAGGTTTCTCTCCTTTCCACAGGGTATTTGAGAGGTTCCCCTCAATCTTGTAAAACATGTGTTAAGTCTGTGTTTTTCCTCTCACCAATTTTGAGAGGTTACTTTTAATTCTATGTAGAACTGACTAGCCACACATATAGATTCCTTGTATGGATCAAAGTGATGTTGCAAAATACGATTTAGCTTTCTAGTTATTGTCAATTTCTATTTCGGGACAAAATCAAAAGAGACATGAAAAATAAAGACAGAAACATTGTGGCAGTCTGAGGAAGTGGATTTGTCCATGAAAGCTAACTTTAAGATATAGCAGTTTGTCTTTAAGGTTCCACAATATGTTTGCTGTTTTGATTTTTGATTTTTCTTATATTTTTGGCCTGATATGCTAGCATAGACTAACTGGCTACTTCTTTGAAAATTACAACTTTGACCATTTCCCTGTGGATGGTTTAATGAATGCAAATTCCTATTTGTTCTGAGACAGAAGCAATGATAAAATACTCACAATCCTTAACAGGAATAGTAAGTAGCACCTCATAATGTACAAAACCCTTTTATAAACTTGCATGTTCATCTTCTCTTTACTTAAACCTTTCTTGTGATCCAGTCAAGATTTCTTCACTGTAGTTATTTGGAGAATTCCTGTTGAGCAGTACTTAAATATTTTCATCATTTTGATCCCAATTTTCTAAACAAAGTATTCCCCAGAAATGTGGCCTTAGCTCAGCAGATGGACAAACTTGATGGCAACTCTTAGTCAAGCATGTTTTAGATTACACCGTTCCTAATATTTTGTTATTTATAAAATGTGTTGCTGAGATTTCTCATCAGAGGCATCTTTGTAACTAGCCAGTTCAAAACCTAAGTCAGATAGTGGCTGAGAAACCGGCAACATATTTACAGGCATCTGGTGCTGAGCCCTTTCGTCCACCAGGA